TCGAATCGCTGGCGAATCGCCAGCGAATCGCTGGCGAATCGCTAGCGAATCGCTGGCGAATCGCTAGCGAATCGAGCGAATCGCTAATCGAATCGCAAAGTATGACGTCGGCCTTACCATCTTCAAACACCAGTTTTTGCTCTGATTATTCGAGAAAAGGCGCGAAAAAATGCCAATTTGGACGACTTTTTCGTGGTTTTTCAGAGAATTAAGGGAAGTACGCATCCGGCGATCAGCAGTTTGTAGATGCTTGAAGCACTTGGTTGAATTCATTTCGTGATCGCAGGCATTGCGAAGCGCCACCCTTATGTGCTATTCCACTACTCAGCTGTTTTTGACTGTTGACTGGACGCCCCACTCAAAGAAAACTGACAGAAGTGCGAATGAGGATGCCTTCGCTCATAGGTGATTTCATTTCCATTTTTATTAAATTTGTTTTTAAAAGTTGTTTCAGTGCGAGCAGAACTCTCAAGAGCGCACACGTACACAGCCGGTTACTTGGTTTCAAGTAAATGAAAAATACCATCCAAGTGTTATCGGAGAGGACGTAACATCCAAACTTCAATGTCAAAGTTTGTGCAAAGGATTTCGGGAATACGAAACAAATGAACATTCAAAAGTTAATGTGCAATGGGCAACGCTCCTTCAGGGGAACATGAAGTTGGTTCGCTGTTCGCCGCGGTAATCGCCAGCAAATTCCTCGAAATGGGCAAGTTGAACCGGGAGCGGATGCAGCATTTATTTTTTATTTACATAATTTCAAACAATATATTTTATATTACTTACGTATTATACTACTCAGAACAATGAAAAATCCGGTAGGTTAAGAGACCCGGGATGGCACGCGAGTGAATGACTTGAAATTGGAATCGGGGCAATAGGGGAAACACTAAGGTAAGTATTGACCCACCCAATACACGTGACGTTACCGACCGATCGCTAGAAACAAAGGGCCAACGTGCACGCGAAGTTGTTGACAAACTCTGAGGACAATCCTACTGTCGAGCCGCAGCGCAGCAGGGGCGGGAGCAGTGGCACCGATTTGACCTCCTGAGGGTGCTCACCAAAGATTACACCCGGACGCTTCAGCAGAGCTCACGTACACTAAAGCCCGCTCATGGTTTCATGTAAATGAAAAAATACCATCAAGTGTTATCGGAGAGGACGTTATATCCGAACTTCGCCACAGTTTGTGCAAAGAACTGCAAAAAGCCGGAACAAATGAACATTCGAAAGTTAGTCCCATGCAATGGGCAATGCTCCTTCAGGGCAGGGTCAACCGTCCGTTCGAACTGTTCGAACGAAGGGGTCGCATTTTGGTCGGAAGGGGGTCGCAATTTCGAGGACTGCCAGCCACAGGCGCGTGCGTGGCGTATCCGAGGGCAAGAATTGCTTGTGCAGACCGCATTAGATTCGATTTATTATGCACACAGAGGCAGTTTTAGGCAAATTACGGTGTTTTCCTACGCAGTAAAGAACAGTTGAATGCATCCTTATGAAAGGTTTGACTTCTCGGGGCTGAAATTAAAGTTCTTCGGGACCTGATTTTCTGAGGACGATTCTTCCAGACAACGGTAAAACATATAAGGAAGCCGAAGTCTCGTAGTCTTCAAAAATGTCTTCGCCCCTCCCCAACAAGTTCTTGAAGGAAGTTATTATTGCTGAAAGCTCAAAAACTCGCATGTGCTGCTCAAAAACCTATGGGAACAAAATGTTCGAACGTGTGATTTTCTCGGAAAATGGATTTTGAAAAACGGTTTGGTGCTTGTCAGAAAGAGCAAATCCTGTACTTTCACCCCATGAAAAAGTGCATCACAGAAATGAAAATGAAGTGAGTTATGCCCGCTTAAAGCCCAAAAACTCGCGATTTCAAAAAAAGTGTTCGGCAAAACCCCCCAAAATGTTCGAACGTGTGATTTTCTCGAAAAATTAACTTTGAAAAACGGTTTGGGGCTTGTTAGAGAAGAGCAAATCCTGTACTTTCACCCCATGATAAAAGTGCATCCACAGAATACATTGAAGTGCAGTTTAGTATGATTGTGAGTTATTGAGTTTTTTGAAGACCTAATTTTTTGGGCGCTTCTTCTAGAAGAACTGTAATATACATGAGTAGCGTAAATCTCGTAGTCTTCAAAAATGTCTTCGCCTCCCCAACAAGTTCTTTGAAGGAAGTTATTATTGCTGAAAGCTCAAAAACTCGCATGTGCTGCTCAAAAACCTATGGGAACAAAATGTTCGAACGTGTGATTTTCTCGGAAAATGGATTTTGAAAAACGGTTTGGCTTGTCAGAAAGAGCAAATCCTGCACTTTCACCCCATGAAAAAAGTGCATCTCAGAAGTGAAAATGAAGTGAGTTATGCCCGCTTAAAGCCCAAAAACTCGCGATTTCAAAAAAGTGTTCGGCAAAACCCCCAAAATGTTCGAACGTGTGATTTTCTCGAAAAATGAACTTTGAAAAACGGTTTGGGCTTGTTAGAAAGAGCAAATCCTGTACTTTCACCCATGAAAAAAGTGCATCACAGAATGAAAATGAAGTGAGTTATGGCCGCTGAAAGCCCAAAAACTCGCTTTTGCACGGAAAATGTTCGAACGGGACAATTTTTTAAAAAGGGGTCAATCACTAAATTTTTTATACTGTTTTGATAGAGAAATATTTGAAGTTTCTGAAACTTTTGACAGCTTTCCAAAAGTCGCATACGTACGATATTATGGGCCTTCAAAATTGAAGGTGCGCCTTCTTAGAATTTTGGGTTTTCCACTTCTAACAGAAGTACTTTCCGGAGAGTTAGGCAATCCTTGTAGTTTTCTTAAAGCGCACCTCAGGCACAATCAAAATCTACCTTAACAAGTCAGAAAAGTACGTCCCAAGAAAGTTATATTCCCCTCTAAAAA